TCCTGCTTGCCTGCAGAGGGCACTCAAGGGTTTAAGTTGGGAAACAAGACTGGGGGGCTATATATGTTGTCTCACCAATGGCCCTGTAGCTGCTACTCAGGGAAAAGGTAATACAGTTACCTTTCCCAGATAGCTCTAACTCTCATCCTCCAAGGAGCAGAGAATCCGTTACCATGGTCCAGTGAAGCCATGCCATCAGACAGAGGCCCACAGTCTCCATGCAAATGGTCCGGATCTCCAACAGATCCTCTGAATCTGTCAGGTTTAGGGGTGTGAGGAGGGGGGGGAGGGAGACAGGGTGTGTGTGCAATCTTTGCCTCCCAACAGAAAGTTTCTGCAATGGAATTCTTGAGTTGATTTCTATACCAAAAGTCAGAGAAGCCTTGCCCAGTATAGGAATGGTCAGGAGTCACAGACATGTTAATAACTGCTCCCCCTGCAAATTATGTCTTTTACATACACCCTTATACATGACATCAATGTTATACAATGCAGTGAACACTTAAGAGCATGAACCTGCTTACATAAAATTAACTAGCAAATACTCTATTGGGGAAATGGTCAGGCACTTCAGTAAGTTTTGAAGTTCTTATTTTTCAATTGGAAAAAAAAATCCCCATAATTCTTACATTTTCATCAAACTTGGAGTATTTTTCAAGCTCTGATTTAAATAGTGCTTGTGGTGGAATCTTCATCTTTGCTAGTTTTGCTGCCTGCAATATAAAATATGCATTACAACTTTACAGTTAATTAGCATCCTAATGAATTATAGTCACTTGTTCTTTTCTGGAAAGCTGTCCCTGAGTGTACATAAATTGATACACAGAACATCTAAATTGCAGATGAAGGAGACCCACAATCCACTTATCCATTATGCGGAGAGAAAGGAATTATCAGTGAGGGACAACTCTATATGAATCTTGAACACATCTGTCTGGGGAAGTAAGTAATTAACTTAGTAGTCTGTTGCAACAATTAATCAGGTAAGATCCAATTGAGACAAAAAAAAATCCCCCAAAGAAATGTGTTGTTTCTCCCTGCAACAGCTCAGAATAGTCAGCTTATATAGAGCAGATGCCACATGTATTTTTTTGTTTATTTGAGCCCTTGTTGTATTTAGGTACAAAAATTAAAAGTAAGCTATTTAGCAATGAGCTCATTGCAGATGTTTTTCTATGCCCAAGCAGAAATCCTGTGATTTGAATAAGGCTCCATGCAGGTGATAGCAGGGTCAGGGCCCAAAAACAACTGAACCATGTTAAAAGAAAATTCAACTTTAGTTTTATTGAAAATGGTAGCCTCTCTAGATCATTAAAAGCAATAAAGTCATGAAAAGGAAACATCTATTTACAGACAGTTCCCCCTGGATTTCATACTTTGAGGATTTACTTTCCTGTACTGCATTACTAGTGCCATTTGCATGGAAAAAAGAGCTTTGCTCTACAAGAGACCAACTGCTCTCAATGGTTATTCCTCACTTGAAGTCTTAAGCTTTTGTTTTAGTTACAATTAGATGCTACAGAGAAGAATTTGTCTTCACAAAGAATTAGACTTCAGGTGAAGCATAAATAGCAGGAACAGAGGAACTTTTAAGGAAAAAGATGCTGTTTTCATGCGTATCTCCAGAGTAATAAAAAAAGAAAGAAAATAGGGATAGCTCAGTGGTTTGAACTTTAGCCTGCTAAACCCAGGATTGTGAGTTCAATTCTTGAGGGGGCCATTTAGGGATTGGGGGCAAATCTGTCAGGGATGGTACTTGGCCCTGTTGTGAAAGCAGGGGACTGGACTGGATGACCTTTCAAGCTCTATGAGATAGATATAGCTCCATACAAATGCAGAAGCCTCTCTAAGTGAAATATTCCTTAATTACCAGAGCTCTGAAACTTGTACATGCTGTATCCTACTCACAGCTATGTGCTACAAAGTATTTAAAGAATCTCCTATCTCTGTTCAGATTTTGTGGGATTTTTATGGTGCCATAGGA